AGTAGGAGTAGTGGCAGTGGCAGTGGCAGTGGCAGTGGCAGTGGCAGTGGTAGTGGTAGTGGTGGTGGTAGTGGTAGTGGTATACTAGTATTGCGACTATGAATATGATAAAGATTATGACTGGGATGTAGGTTTTTAGGTTTTGCACAGGCTTCTGGGCTGTGGAACCCAAGAGTTCGGGCTTTTGGGTTTTAAGAAGCCCTAAACCCTCAACGCTACGACTCCTCGCGTCAAGAAGCCTTACGCCCTAAACCCCTAAACCCTAAGAATGCAGAGCCTCGAGTTTGGGAGTTTCGGGGTTGTCGTGTGCCCAGTTTTGGGGTTTGGGGGATTTCGGGTCTGAATGTGCAAAGTTCGGAGGGTTTGGGACTTCGCCCTGCATCGAAAACCTGACTTGTCCAGTGTGGTTTAAGGTTTAGGGTTTTGGGTTTAGGGTGTAGGAAGTCACCGAGATCCCAAAGCCCTCAAAGATATCCGGATACCTGCGAAGCTCATGCAGCAGCAGCACAACTACGCACAATTCCGAACACTACCCTGAACCTCCCCATGCCCCGAACCCCAAGCCCTTAATCAATGAAGCCTACCTTAAGAACCCAAAACCCACTTTCTTGTAGGTTCTTATTATAAACCCGAATATGGGATTTAAAGGGACCCTACAAAAAAGTAGGTTTGGGGTTCTTAAGGTAGACCCTAAGCCATAGGGCCAACGCCAATAAGCCCCAAACCCTTGAAGCCACAAAACTCTCCTTGTAAAACCCCTTGTAAATCAATGGAGACTATAGGCCAACCAAGCGGTAAACTCCCAGACCGGTGTCTACCCACACGCTCCATAGTATATAGTTCCATTTTGGGATTATCTTAGAGGGTCCTAAATATACATGTCCTACATATACATATCGTCTCCATTGTAGTTCCTTTTTTTGGTTAACCGATGTTATGATTAGAACATAAACTTGGTTAACCCAAAAAGGAACTACAATGGATACGATAGGTACCTTGTAGGATCCTAAATGCAAACCTATAAGGGAGCCTATGATACCATGGGTATATAGCTGCTGTAGGTGTCCATTTTACAGTGGTGTTCCTTCGAGGCTAAGTCGAGAGAGTTCTGCAGAAATCGACGATTTAGGGTTTAGGGTTTAGGACCTATAGAGCTTAGGGTTTAGGACCTGGGGTTTAGGGTTTCGGACCTAGGGTGAGTGGCGCAGAAGCGGATGTATCTTGCGACAGTGTCATTTCGAGTGCATCGCAGCCCCTGCCCCTGGGCCCAGGGTGAAGGGAGAGAAGGTTTAGTGCAATCTCGGGAACTTAGTAATTAGAAAAGGGTTTTGGGGCCCATTATACTATAATTGTATTATTATTACCTTAAGAAGCCCCCACACTAGTGTTGGTAGTTATTTAGGCCCCTATATAAATCATAGTAAATTTCCTTGAAGGGATTAGTAAAGGTCCCGAGGAGAACTCGGTACCGGGCCTGACATGCCCCCATGGCTGTGGGGAGGCGGGCAAGCGTATTGGGTCGCTCTGCGGCCTCAAGGTCGAAGGGGTTAAGCGCCACCCAGCCAAGGCGGGATTACCTCTTAAACCCTAAACCCTATAATCCTAAACCCTATAATCCTAAACCCTAAACCCTAAGCCCTAAACCCTACACCCTCCCTATGGAACCCTAAACCCTATAACCCTCAGCCCTGGGTATAGGCCACTAAGCCTTCGCCCTAAACACTAAACTTGCCATCCAGACCCTCGCACTCCACATCCCCAACTCCCCTGGGGTTCAGGGTTTAGGGTTTAGGGTTTAGGGTTTAGGGTTTAGGGTTTAGGGTCCTGGGTGCTGCCCTGACACCTTTGCCGTCTCGCCAGAGCGGTGCAGGGCAATAGCATCGGAGGTGCCTTGGATTGGAGGCTGGGGCCCCCTTGTGCTCGGAGGATCATGGGACTTAGTAACATAGGGTTATAAATAAGGTAACTATATACTTATTAGTCATTATAACACCAATTAAGGTAGTTATAACCTTACTTACTAAGTCCCATGATCCTCCGAGTCGATACTGAACCGTAAACGCTAAACCGCTTCGGGTTTAGGGCTTGGGGTCAGGGTTCAGGTTTGGGGGCTTTAGGTTTGGGGGTTTACAGGGGTTTGGGGTTTACGGTTTAGGGTTTAGGGTTTACAGGGCGTGCTTTCTCCCATTCCTGTTTGAACCTCAGCGGCAGCCCCCGAATGCCAAGCTCTTTGCCTGCAGATTCAATAGGTAAATCCTGGAAATGAAACGCTGCCTAAACCCTAAACCCTAAACCCTAAAAACTAAACCCTGAACCCTGAAAACTAAACCCTAAACCCTAAACCCTAAAACTCACCCGCTGCACCGCAGGCTCACAAGGGAGTAGAGCATGCCATGTCTACTCCGCAGGCTCCAGGATCCCGGAAGTCAGGGACTCTTCACTAAATCATCCTCGGGATCCCTCTATAATGTAGGGTCCTTAAACCCTAAACCCTAAACCCTAAACCCTAAACCCTAAACCCTAAACCCTAAACCCTAAACCCTAAACCCTAAATTATTACATGTAGCCGGAAAGGCCAACCTTTTGAGGGCTCCTTATTCTGGTTTCTATGTATAGCTCCTTAAAAAGGTAAGTCTTTGCGGTTACAGGTAATACTTAGACTAGGTTTTTGGTGCCCATTATACTAGAATTATAAGAAGGAACCCTCAAAATAGTATAGGTAAATATTTAGGCCCCTATATTACATGGAGGTATTGTCTATTGTTAGGGAACCTTTAAGGAGCATCTTGGTGCATTTGGGTATTTAGGCTTCAAGTTGCCACTGCAGGGCAGGAGAACGCTGGCGTTTACCGGCACATTGGTGTGCCATGAACAAGGATATGTAGGATGCTGCAGGGCAACAAAACCGAATTCTGACATACTCTCATTGAACAGGTGCGTGTGCACATGGGAAAATGCGACTTTATGGTCGTATGAAACCATTGAAGCATTCCTTGGGGTGAACTCACAGGCTGGGTTGGGCGTCTATACTCTTGTTTTTGTTCAGCTGCTCCAAAGATTCTTAGCTTCCTGCGGTTGGCTCTCTTAGCCTTTGCGTTGAAGATCCTTGAAGCCAGAACGTCCAAGCAGCCTGTCCCAGGCTTCAGACGTCTATCGAAGGACCCTGAGCCCGAAAACCTGAAAAGAAGGGTTTAGGGTTCAGGGTTTAGAGATGAACTTGCCACGGCCTCCAAACCCCTAGGAAACAACACTCAAATCCGGCGAAGTCCTAGCGTTGACCGGAGCATCGGGCAAGAGAGAATATGCGCTATCGTATACTACAACATAATGAAATCCAATACAGGTTAGAAAATGGAGTATTGTATGGCTTAGAAGAGTCTAGCATGGCATAGTATAGTATGTTCAGTATGGTATAGTATCGTATAGTACAACATAGTAATGAAGAGTGGCAACATATAATGTGAGCATACTTGCAGCCGAGCCGCGTTTTTCGATCCTATCGATGTAGTCGTTGTAAGATCCTCATCCCACATAGGTCATGGGTTCGGGGTTTAGGGTCTGAGGGTTTAGGCTTAAACTCCAAAAGATCCTCTCAAGATCTGTTTTGAACTCTGTTAATTCTCTTCCTCTCCTAAAGCTCTGAACCTAGCGTTCCTCTTTCCAGAGATAGCATGGCTTCGGCCATCGCACCTCCTGATATCAGCACTGATATGCGGGGCTCGGGGTTAAGGCTCACCCTAAACCCAAACCCCTAAACCCAAAAACCTAAAGCCTAAACCCTAAACCATAAACCGTGGCTCTGACTGAGGTGGGCTGAGACCGGGCACGCGCAACCCAAGAGATGCCTCTCGGAGCAGTCCTTCGACGGGCCAGCCGACGAAAAGGAGCAGCCAGCGAACCATGGCACGAATAATTTGCCGTAAACCCTAACCCTAACTCCTAAACCCTAAACCCTAAACCCCTAATTCTAGAGTACCCGCACCCTCCACCCAGACCAAGCCAAAGGACTTTGGACTTGCGCGCAACCTAGACACCCGCAGCATGTGGAGCTCGGCAGGGAAACGCTGTTGAGTTGCGAAAGCTCGTGCAAACGAACGCGAAACAAAAAAGACAGCCAGCATCCACGATCTGCCCCTGCATACAGGTGTTCCTGAGGCTCCATCCATCCGATAGCGCCAGCAGCAGCATGCGCAGCAATCGTAGTAGCAGCGGTAGCAGGCGCACTAGCAGTAGCAGCAGCGGCGGTAGCCAGCTGTGGTTGTCGTCGGAGTCACATGATGTTCTGCTCCTACCTCTTCTGCTGCTTCTACTGCCACTGTCTCTGCTGCTTCTGCTTCTACTCCTGCGGCTACTACCATGACTACTACGACTCTGACTACGAAGACGAGGACGACGAGCACCACCACCAGTGCAAGTGCTAGTACCAGTACTCGTAAACCTTCCCCAGAGGCTCCATATATAGTACCATTATGGAATTAGGTCCCTAAAACCTTAACAAGGATGGTCTTTTGGGACCTAATTCCATAATGGTAATATATATGGAGCCTCTGGGTTCTGGGTGTAGCATGGGAGATCGTTGAAGATCGGGCCGCGTGGCGTCGGTGCTTCGGGTTTTGGAAAACTGTCCCTAGCATAATGGCTGGAAAGAGCTTCGCACCTTGGTTAGAACCCTATACCCTAAAC